TGTTGCAAACACGCCCTCTACGGCGAATAAGTAACTAGCTTCTAATTCGACATAACACTCAAATTATGCTATTATTTGATAATATTTTGACATGAGTATATGACCTTTAACCACTTTTATCATTTCCAGCCACAGTTACGTAACTTAATTTGCAAATACGCCCTCCCTCTACGGCGAATAAGTAACTAGCTTCTAATTCGCTGTAACGTTCAATCTAAGGTATTATTTTGTCATCTTCTGACATGGATATATGACATTTGACCACATCTATCAATTCCAACCACAGTTACGTGACTTATGTTGCAAACACGCCCTCTACGGCGAATAAGTAACTAGAAATTCTAATTCGACAATACAATACAATACAATATTTATTGGAGAACACTTTTATAACAGTGGCACACGTTAGACAAATTCTAACGGTGCATCCAGAAAAGAACAAAGCAACAGAAATAAAAGATTAAATTCTTAATTATGTGAGATTTACAGATAACTTAAATAACATTATTGCCCACCCACCAATCAAATTAAACACTTAAAATAAACTACAAACAAAACAAGAATGACTGTGGTTTGAAAAGTCGTGCAAAGCAAACCATGACGCTAACCAAGGTAATTACCTTGCGCTAACCCACCCCGCAACGCCCCGAGCCGACGCCACCGGGCCCCCGCCAGGTAACGCAGCCAGCCGAATGCTAGCCGTCCTCCCTGTCGTTGGATGTTGTTCGAGGGAAGACCACCAGCACCCAGACAGCCCCAGCACCCGACGTCATCGGTCCGAGAATGCAGCAGAGCAAGCCAACGGCCCGGTTGCGATTTTTTTTCCCGTACGAAACATTTACATGAAAATCCACTCGGGCCGTCTCGGCTGAATCGACCCGAAAATCTCATTGCAGAATTCAGGAGGTCAAAAGGTCAACAGATAAACGTCTACAGAACAACTTCTGAGAGAACGTCTCTATCTAATTTTTAAAAATACATTGATGTTACCATGTTAATACCAATGGGTCGTTTAAAATTACATATAATATTTGATTAAGCTCCACGAGTAATGAAAAGTGTTATTTTAACTTGAGTTACATACTATGACAA